TATAAACCAGCAGAGGCTCAAACGTTCATCTCTGTCACTTACATTCCTCCGTCCACCACCAGGGAGCGTATGCGAGCGTCCAGGCCGGCCTGATGCAGGTTCACAGCTTCGCGCGTCAGCACCACCCTGCGACCTCTGCAGCCCACCTTCGTGAACAGGGCGATGGACGGCAGAGAGAACTCCTGGAGGTGGAGAGCAGAGGGTTGAGTTCACACAGAGCACCACAGAGGGCTGAAGACACGTCCAGGGAGAACAAACACTCACATGTCCTGCAGTCCGGATGGACCGGAAGCTCGAGTCTGAGGACAAGAAGCCCATGGCCTCTGTGCTGGGGTACTCCCCCTCCTCCAGGATGTACATGTTCTCCGTGAACTGGGATCCCTCATGTGCCACCCAGCTGACAACAAATATGCAGTATATTGAATGAAGCCATGCAAAAATGTTACCTCGTGCAGCAGCATTTCTGACCCCTCATGACCTCATAAGTACAGACGATAACCACATGACATCAATTCTGATAAAAACACATTTGAAGTTCGATAAACTGCAACCAAATCAATTTTCCACCCACTCCAAGAGTCAATCTTTTTTTGTTTAACTAACTCTGAGCATTAAAATCAGAAGATAAGAGTTTAATTCCTGACGTAGAGGAACAGAAACAAACATTGTTCTATATGAGAACGTCTTACAGGAGAGTACTCTGAAAAGGACAAAGATTCCCTAAAACAGGCTTGTGGTGGTTGTTTACCTGCCAGCCAGCACCTTACAGGACCTGGGTGTGAAGTCTTCATCCAGAGCTGCCGCGCTGTCCTCCAGACACACCAGCCGTCCCTGGAAGTGCTCCTCAGAGTAGAGCTGGACCTGTAACACATCCAAACAGCCTCAGCGACCCAGCAGCACACACTAACAGAGACTCCTCATCATTTCTGATTGATGCCGAGCTGCACACGAACGAGCGATACCTTGAATTTTGTGGTTCCCATGCTGTCCTGCAGAACAAACAGAGTTGTTAGAAATGCACCTTTTATGACGTTAAGCCTTTGTGTGATTAACGGATGCTGATGGTTTCTTACGTGGAACACGGGCTGTATGGATGCGATCCTGAAGTTCTGAGCTCCCCAGTCCTCCGGGTTTGCGTACATGCCTTTCTCCAGGACGTAGAGTTCTCCGCTGAACCCAGGCTTCTCAAAGGCCACCCACCTGCAACGACAACCAGCTAAGAAATGAAACCACAGCCTCCATGTTTTCATCTGCATCACAAGCTCTGCAGTGAATCCTGTAACCGTGAGAAGCACACGAGCCACGATTTACCCACTCATTACATGGATGAAGTTTATGTTTAGGATACTCGTACAGGGATGTCTGCTGAAACTGGAAACCACCTAACTCCAAGGAAACCAAAATAAAAGCCATTGTTGCTCTAAAATCAAAGAAGTGCTTGCAAACAGCACATCTTCAGGTTTCTTTGAATAATGACTTGAGCTGCAGCATTATCTGTATAAACAGGCTGAGTCTCGTCTCAGAGGCTGTAAAATGACAGGCGAGGCCGTCGCAGAGCTAACAGCAGAGTGTTGGGCAAACAAATCCAACCAGCTCTGAAAACCAACAAAGAAATCTTCCCTGTAAAAACGAACAGACTTGCTTTAGAGTTTTTTAGCCCTGTATCGCACGAGTTTTGAATATTTAATCAGCGCTGGCACATCTCAACGATCAGCTGGAGAGAAACTGTGGGAGTGGTTTGGGTGAACTGGCCCTTTAAAGTGTTGGAAAAAGA